TGACAGATCTTTCTAAATTTATGACCCAGAAGGAGCTTATCCAGGGTTGCTGGAGAATCAGCTTGCAGTCCTGCCTTCTCATGGCTTGAATTGTCTTTAGACCCTGCAAAAGGATGGCAAGAACCGGCATTGTGCAGTCCTGGTTTTGGTGATTCCTCTTGCCCACGGTGGAGGTTTCTCTGGCTGCTTCCTCCGAGAGCTTTGCTGGGGCTCTGAAGGACAAACTTGATCTTTCTGGGTTTGAAAACTCAGCAGCAATGAATGGATAAGGGAAAGACAAAGTTGCGACGGAGCTGACAAATTGGCCACATTGAAGGATAACGGATTTGGTAAAATGAGTCAGTTACGAAGTTGTTCTTAGCTGTGCCTATAAACACCTCTGTACTGCACCTCATGGTGTAAAGAATGTGAGGAGATCCTGAGCCAGCTGCCCCGTCGTGCCCCTGCTTCAGCACCAACGGCTTCCATGGTTCAGCAGGAGGGCTTGGGGTCCCTAAATCCCTTGGGATGAGACCTGAAATAGGTCTGTGCATGGGCCAGGTGTGAACCAAGGGCCCCTCCTGTGCCTTTCCTGTGCAGGCAGCTGGTGCTTCTGCAGGATGGGAGTGGTGGGTTAACGAGTGGGGCTCTTCACCCCGGGCACCTCTCGGCGTAGCAAGAAAGAGTTCGCCCCGACGGAAACACATTCATTTTCTGCTTAAATGCCGCTGATTCCTTTTCTTGTCCCATAAGCGTGTTTTCCTGCTGCTTGTTGTTCATTTTGTGAATGCTCCGTAGCAATGAAGAACCCCCGGGCAGTGATTTCTGCTGGGATCCTGCCCGGGGGGCAGCTGGTTTCTTGCACGTAGCCTTGTGGAGAGCGTGGAGGGGTCGGGCTCCGGGCCCCAGCGCGGGGGAGGCCGCTTGGTCACGGCCCACGCGGGAAGCGGCCACGGAAGGAGCTCGGGATACTGGCGGCCTGGCTCGGCAGCGGAATCTCCAGAGCTGCACATACTTTTCTCTGTCTTAATTATGCATTCATTAAAAGCTTTTATACCCCACAGAATAAAGTAAATATTTTTTGATCTCTGTAGTGTGCTCCCAGACTGTAGATTTGCACAGCAGGGTCTTGATAATCTGAATAAATTGTATTTCCCCAAGGAGTTTATCTTTCGAATAAGGTCATAAAGAAATGCATTCTCTCCCCTCAGTTCTCCTTGCACTTTTTCTGCTATTTATAACGCGGAGCACAGGAATAGAGGTGCATTGTAGTCTACTGTGTGTTCTCGGTTATGATTAACTGTAATTTATCTGTCTTTGTATCTGTTTTTGTGGCTTGTGCAGTGCAATTATTCTTAAAAATACAAATGAACGAAGAGGAATTTGAAAGTAATTTAAATGCAGTGTTTATAAAGAACGCTTCCTGTTTGGCAATTTTAGTATACAGATATGATATAGTTCTGCACTAAAATTCAGACAGTGTCATATCACTAAGTATTTAATATTGCCTTGTTTGCACCTTTGGAAAACTTTTTCTTTCATGAGGATTTTAAATGTCAGCTTGTGGAAAAAGCCTAGTATGTCGAATGCATAGGGCCAGATACACCTCTTCAGTGTTGAAGTACACACTGATAAACCGTTTAGTTAATTTGTTCAACTGGTTTGAGTTCATGATGGGATTATAGAAACATTTCAACTCTAAGATCTCTCTTTATATATAATCTTAAATGTATTTTCATTGTCCAAAAGTGTTTCAGTGGTGTAAAAGGCATTCGGGTAGAAAAGACAGCATTGCTACTAATCCTTAATTCTCTTAGTTCTTGAGAGTTCTGCTTGTGCTCATATCTTGTCGTTCAATTCAAAAAAGATAAGTGGCCTATTTTAAAGTTTATAACAAAACAACTTTGCAAATCACAGTAATTTATTAATTATTAAAATATAAACACACAGAAAATATGGAAATACAGAAATCAATACCTGTTGTGTACTCCTTATTAAAAAGAAAGTTGCTGTGATACAATTCCAGAAGAAAGTTGTGCCCAACTTTTAAATTTTTATTACTACTCTATTAACGCCATATACTAAAACTCCTGGAAAGCAGAGGCAGACAGAACTCTTACCTGCCCACAGCTGAGTAGGAAGAGTAACAATTTCACTTTTATGCATTTAGCAGAAAGTCTGAATTTAAGAGTTTAGTTGAAAAATGCTGTTCCAAGAAAGTAACTCAGGATGAGTTGGTGATGATCTTTTGGCTACTTTCTTTTCTTTTAATGCCAAAAGATAAGGGTCTCTGCAGCTAGCTCACACACTCCATTGGAGCCTGGTGTTTCTGGAAGTCTTGCCACATACTGAGGGCTGGGTTGTCCCATCAGCAATATACGTGTTGCAATCTCAACATAACATTTGTGCCCTCTAGTACCATCATAGAGACAGTAGTGTCCAGTATAGAACTGCATAATCATGATAGGAGTCAGAGATGTTGCTCTGACAATGTGATAATTTGCATTTTTAAAGCTAATGCAGTACTTTGGTGTGAAATACAGACTTGTAGATCAACCTTGGAGAAGGACAAGTGAGTTGGTGATGGCAGTGCGAGGGCAGTTTGCAAGGGACGCCCTGCAGCAGCACCAGGCAGGAAAATGCTGGTTGTGACAAGTCACTAGCGCTTCGTGCCGCAGGAAATCTCAAGGCAACACAGATAAATAACCCCCATAATAAATAGATGTGTATAACAAACACCTGAAATGAGTAAATGAACATGTAAATATGACTCAATTATACTGTAAATCAACAACTGATAGTTCAGTTTTCTATGGGTATCTTTAGGTAATATAATCAAAAATTATATAAATTTTTTCAGCAAAAATGCCAACTGCTGTTGATTTGAGGGAATAAGGGAGTTTTGGAGATGATCACAAATATCCAAATAAAAATGAAGCCTCTGCAGTGTGTTTTAGATTTCACTGAAGATTTGAAGATTTTTGTTGGTTTGTTTGTCTTTTCAGGGAAAAAAAATAGCATTTATGTGTGACACTCTTGCAGTCTAATGAGCAGACATTCCTGCTCTTATCTGCAGACCACCAAGGTCCCTCTGGCCTTCTCCATTGGCATGCAGTGGACTTTGATCAGGCTTGTATCTCAGCGAGAAAGTTCATCTTGGGATCACAAATCTGGATTATTGGGTTTTTTTTTTCTGTTATTCCAAACTATAGCTGTTGGTTGCACTGATTTCTTTTTTTTTTCCTGCATGTTTGGAATTCCTTCAGGTAGTTGATGATCCCTTTTTTAGAGCTGGTCTCTCCAACCAGTGACAGTAAAACGTGGTTGTTACCACACGTGACAGTAAGTGCTCTGATGTTTACTTGGATGATGCTCTTTGACGTCGTGCCACAGCTGCTTGGCCATCAGAGTGGTGGCGTGAGGTGCCATCTGTGATCTGCACATGCTGCTCAAGAAACACACGCATAGCAGACCCCTCTCACTTAAAATACATTCATTCTTTTCTTCTTTCACTGTGCTCTTGGCGAGGATTTATCTTTACCTGCTCTGTTTCACTGTGGAGAGGAGATGACACAGTGGAACCACGTGGGACTTGTGTGGCTCATGGGCAGCCAGCTTACAGTGCTTATTCCAGCACCATAAGCAACCTTTAGCTTTCAAGGAAAAAATATGAGGATCTTACGATAGAGCTGAAGTAGATAATGGATAGAATTTTATTTATTTATACATATAGCCCTGCCAACGTAGGTGAGCAGTTAGAGGGAAAGATGATTTCAGTTCAACTTCCTTCAGTGCTGACTATTCCAAGCAGGTCAAAACAAAACAAAACCACCCACCCTGTATTCCCTGCCTCTTCGCTGCATCTGCCTGGAGCACCTGGGGAGCTCCGCGGGTGGGTACTGGGGGAGCGATCCCGGCCCGCGGTTGAGCCGCGGTTCCCAGCGTGTCGCCACCGACCTCCTCGCGCTGCCGCTGCGGCCGCTGGCGCCGCCCGCCTCACTCGCCGCCCACGCACGGGGCTCCTGTCAGGTTTGCTCCTCGCTGCCCTGGCCCCAGCTGAGCAGGGAGGGGGAAATTGGCCTAATTCAGTCTGTTTCTTTCCCGCTCCAGCCCCTGACTTAACTGGGCAACGAAGGGAAACGGGCACCACCTGGGGACCGACGGTGCGACAGTCAGAAAGATGGAAATGCTGCTTGGGGAAGGCGAATGCACAGCCAGGGGCAGGGCAGATCAACACTCCTATTTCCCAAATGCACTCGGACTAGGACAGGAGCACTTCCAAGCCCAGGCGCTAACTTAGAAAGAATGATCAATTGAAATTGCTGGTTCATTAATGTAGGGTATCTGTTAGCTGGATGGAAAAGTTCTTCTTGTCGTGAGGAGTGTAGCTTTTGTCTGCAGATTTTTCTGCTGTTAGAACAAAAGAAGAGAAAGACTGGGGCCAATGTCATCTACAGGTTGCTGCTGGGGAGGAAAAAAAAAAAGGATTTCTTTTTTGCTTGTTTTGTTCATTGAAGATAAATTTATACAGAAAATGCAGTCGATCATGTCATGAGGAAGTGTTTTGTTTCAGTGGAGCTGGGAGTTTTGCTCTACATGTTTTCTCGCTCGCTCAAACTAGTAAATAATGAACAAACAAATGTTTGGAACCAACCACTGTAATTAACAAATATATATTTTTAATTCACTTTTTAAGTGCTGAGAGCCTTTGACATATGCTGTAAGTCATGCTGGTTTGTTATTCTGTGTACTACCCTGTATTTCTCGTGGCTGCTGTGCACATATATAACGTGAGCTGTTGAGGTGCAAATGAGAACTCGCAGGTAGATTTGCATATGCAGCGGTAGCAGTTGCACATACATTGTGAATGAAACTATGTTAATTAATCTAAAGTTATATTGCCTTCTTTCTCCCCAGTTTCCAAAAGAGCCACCTTTTTATTATCTGAGATCTCAGGATTTTTTTTTTGCCTTTGTTTTCTTTTTTTTGTGAGACATATTTTGTTTGCTTCACCAATCTAGGAACTAAATAGTTTCAATTATTTGGACCTGTATAAGCTGGCGGACCTCTTCAACCTCACGTTGCTGGAGAATGCAGTGGTTGACTTCTTAGTAAAACATCTGTCTGAGCTATTGAAGAGTCATCCTGAGGAGGTGCTGGCCCTCCCATACTGTCTCCTTCGGGAAGTTTTCAAGAGCGACAGACTCACTTCACTCAGTGAAGAACAAATCTGGCAGGTAAGGAAATCAGTGAAACAAGGAAAATGTGTGATACTCTGTAAACCATAATATAACAGTACTTTCTTTGTAGCCTGGAGCAATCTTGAGAGATTTAAGGACTTGAGCAAAAACTTTGATTAATAGCTGAGGGTTTATTTTTTAACTGAGTTTTAAAAAATGTTGTATTATGTTAGCATTCTTAGTTCATTTGCAGGGGACTCCGCTTCTTGCTTAATTTGTGTGACTCAGGTGCGATGAGATGCTCTCTCCCAGATGCAGCTTTGCTGGGGAGCGAGGCCGGCGCATGACGGGCGCTCTCCCGCGAGCTCCTCCCGGCGCTTCCAGCAGCTCCGGCTGAGCTGACTCCAGGCAGTCGCTGCAGCTGCACAGGGTCCCAGCTGCTCCCAAAGCCGGAGTCCTCGCGGGCTGCTCCGCTGCAGGATGAGTGCAGGGGGCAGCAGGGCACAGTCACTTGTACTGTAAAAAGCTGCATCTCCAAAGGGACCACAGCTTGACAGATGTAGAATGTTAACAAGAGTAACGTTTGTGAGGTTTGTTATAGAAAAAAAAAACGCAGTGCCAAAAATACATGTAGCCTGCAAAGACAGGTGTAGAAAAGCAAACAAAATCCAGCCTTGGAAACATTGTCACTGGTAAAAATTGGAGCTCATGATATAGTGGAAGTGGTTCAGGGCTTTTCAAGGTAGAACTTAATTGATTTGGAAGAAATCTGTTCTTTCTTTTAGAACAGCCCAACAGAGAAGCTTGAGTTTCAGAAGATTTATTTATATTTAAAACTCTGTTATTTATCTTCTTACATTTTGGATTATCTTTAGCAAATCATTACAACCATCTACTGTCATTTTCTCAAGTATAAAATACCATCCGTAAAGTACTTTGTGAACAGCAACAGGTAGGAACCAAATATTCCAGCTTCAGCTCGTCAAGCTATAAAGGCAACACAGCGTTTAATTTAATCCTTTGCTCTGATAACTGCCATATTTGATCCCAAAACTTTGGGACTGAGATTCTGGAGTCTTTCTGAAGACGCTCTTTCCTGCAGCTAGTCCCGCTCCTCCCCTCCTGCTCTCTGGGGAGTGTGTGTGCAGCAGAACCTGCCACGCGCTACCTGCGCTGCTTCTCGGCTCTGCTTCTAAAGCTGGAGGCTCTGGAGTCCTGCCCTATGTTCCCTTGATCAGCAAGGTGCATTTTGATGTGCATATTTTTATATGGGGCACAGCAGACTGGCCAGTTTGGGTTTTATGATCATTTCTCTGCATGCACAATGAAGTCTCCTAGATCTGCGCTTGGGAATGCTCTTGCTGTTGAACAGGTACTGCAGAGGGCCCTGCAAGAGTTGTTTAATGGTAGCTTATTATAGGACAAGAGGCTGCTGGATCCTGTGCCCTACACACCTGGCCACAACAGCGTTTGGGAAGTCTCTCGGTCTTTGGGCGTTCCCTTGTCCTGCAGGAGTAACTCATAAATAATTTCCTGCACTGTCTGCACTGTGGTCACTGGACGCTTTATGAGGCAAGGCTGACAAAGCTCCTGCTACTGCTGCAGAGTCGTACTGGGGAGAGCTACTCAATGACAACACGCTGCCTTCTGAGTGACAACAGGCTCCACGCTGCCCATTTAAGTGTTATCATAATTGCCTCTGTAAAGGTTACTTAGGCAGTTACGCAGAGCTTCCTAAAGCAGTTTGCTGCTGCAGGCAACGTGTGTCGTCTTAATGCATTCTGTAGAACCATGAATAAATATATATTTATAAATATTCCAGGTCCCCCAAATGAATTAAAAGACACACACAAATATTTACCAATTTAGGCATTCAGGAGTCAATAAGAAACTGTTTTTGCTTTATCTTAGTAAATAAGTAATTCCTTCATAGTCAACGCAATAGAAGAAAATCGAATCAGACCAGCTGTATTGCCTCAAGTGTAGTTAAGTTCATCATTTTTGCTAAGGTTATAGTGGTAATGCAATATACCATGGAAGAATCTAATATTCAGCCCAGGGTGAAGATTGGGTATGCCAGAGGATTAGTGTCAGGGTGCTTTATAGAAGTGAAACTTGATGGACAGGTTGGAGACAGATCTACAGAATCTCATTAAACTGCTGAATTGTTCATTACGGAGCACTCTCACTGTAATAAAGTGCTCATTGACTTTGACAAATTCCCATCCAGTATTTCAGAGAAGAACAGCAAAGCAAGAGGTGTTGGAAAGGAGGAGGAAATTGGCACAAAGTGGGGCAGGTAAGAGAAAGGCGGAGATGGGGAGGTGACTCGTAGCTGGCCACAGGTAAGATGGCCACATTGAACATGAGCAGGACACGAGGGGCTGAACGTGTCCCCAGGGTGTCGAGGCACCTGGCCTAGTAGGGCTCCCTGGACTCACGTTCCTCAAGAACCCCTGCAAAGGATCGCTGTGCAAAGCGCAGCTATTCTGCCTAAATTCCCAGTGTCCCCTGGATGCACCCAACTCACATGAAGATTAAGGCACCTACAGATGTGTATGCAGAGCTGTGCTTGAATATGATGGGAACTGTGGGGATTTCAGCTCATATTTAGCCCCCTCTAGATTCTCATTTGACTACCAATAACAAATGGCCCAGCTTTAGTTGTAGTTTAGATATATTTTAGAATTTATCCTTGAACAAATCAAGCTGGAGGAAGTTAACCAGTAGCATTAACGTCAATAATTTAGAATATCAATTAGTTTATAGTAATGTAGTAATTCCTGACGATTCTTTCAGAAAGGAAAGTTTAAATGAGGTTATAATAGACAAACTGAAGTTAATCATAGTTAAAAATTTATTAAGCTGTTTGGACTGCTGTAAGTTAACTATTTCTCAAGATGCCTTAGACAATAAATATTAACATGTATTTCTTAAAACAAGCAAAGCATCTATGACATAAAACCCCTACAGGCTGAGAAATAGGAGCAATTTCCTCACCTCAGTCATTGGAGTAAAACACTCCAATGGGCTAAGCCAATAACAATGATTATTAAGTGGCATAGCATTTTTTTTCATACTAATTATTTCATTTGACTACTATATGAAATTATTAAGAATTACTTTGTGACCACATGAAATGTATGACTTGTCTGCTGTGTTAAAATGTGAGTAAATTTAAAATTGAGATATGAAAGAAAGGGTTAAAAAATATAAAGAAAACAAAGATTAACCAAGCAAATTGTTCCTTCTTGCTTTGTGAAGAGGGCTTCATGATATATTTGTATCTGAGCTGCATAATTTATTCACAGGAGATGGTCATGATGAGGACATAAATGTCTAGTTTTCCATGAGGTGAAAATAGAATCTTTTTTTATAATTGGTCTTTACTGAAAAGACTTGCTGGCTCTATCTTAAGCAAGCAGATTAATTCTCTCCTTTGATGATTGACAAGGTAACCAGCCTTGGTAACAGCTGGACCCTGCTCAGAGACATGGAGCAGTCGAGGGCTGCTTGCTGCAACCCTGACGAGGAGAAAACAAGGCAAAAGTTTAAACAATAAACTAATGTCAGCTTCAGCTGCAGTATGGTCATATCTCAGCCATAAACATTATGAAAAATCAGTGTCAGGAGGCTTATAAGTTCACTATTCAAGGATAATACTGATAGTTTGAAATGTTGACTGGATCACTCTGTCCCTGGCAGTATGTTGGGCAAATGATGCTGTAGTAAATATTGCGCTTGATTCAGCTCTGATGAAGTAGACTATTAGAGAGTGTAAATATATATATTTTTAAATGGTTAAAATTAAGAGTAGATCCGTCTTAGAGTTTGCCAGTTCTTCTCAAGTTTCATTATTAAGAGTTTCTCATTAATTATTACTTTGCCACTGAGTCTGGTTTCGTGACATGGGTGGAGTAGCTGATAGCCCTGAGGGCTGTGCTGCCATCCAGAGGGACCTGGACAGACTGGAGGACTGGGCAGCGAGAAACCTCATGAGGTTCAACAGGGGCAAGTGCAGGGTCCTGCACTTGGGGAGGAATAACCCTGGACACCAGTACAGATTAGGGGTGGACCTACTGGAGAGCAGCCCCGCAGAGAGGGACCTGGGTGTCATGGTGGACGACAAGTTGACCATGAGACAGCAGTGTGCCCTGGTGGCCAAGAAGGCCAACGGGATCCTGGGGTGCATTAAGAAGAGCGTCTCCAGCAGGTCGAGGGAAGTGATCATCCCCCTCTACTCAGCCCTGGTGAGGCCACATCTGGAGTTCTGCGTCCAGTTCTGGGCTCGCCAGTACAAGAGGGATGTGGAGCTGCTGGAGAGAGTCCAGCGCAGGGCTACCAGGATGATCAGAGGCCTGGAACATCTGCCCTATGAGCAAAGGCTGAGAGAGCTGGGTCTGTTCAGCCTGGAGAAGAGGAGGCTGAGGGGGGACCTGATCAGCGAGTATAAATACCTCAAGGGAGGCAGTGAGGAGGAGGGGGGTGGCCTCTTTTCAGTGGTGGGCAGGGATAGGACTAGAGGAAATGGCTTCAAACTGAAGCATCGGAAGTTCTACAGGAACTTAAGGAAGCATTTCTTCACTGTGAGGGTGACAAAGCACTGGAACAGGCTGCCCAGAGAGGTTGTGGAGTCTCCTTCTTTGGAGATCTTTAAAACCCGCTTGGATGCAGCCCTGTGCCACGTGCTCTAGGTGACCCTGCGTGAGCAGGGGGGTTGGACTCGATGACCTCTGAGGTCCCTTCCAACCTTCGGCATTCTATGATTCTATGATTCTATGACATGAGCTGCTCAGTAATGTGGAAAAGCTGGTGGATGCTGCTCCCCAGGCAGCCGCGGGCACACGAGTGCTCAGCCATGGGCACGTGGGTGCTCAGGTAGGAGCCGGTGGAGCCCGTGTGTATCACACCCAGCCACCTCCCATGGCCAAAGGCAGTGCTGGCTTTTCCTTTTCTTCCCAGGAGCCTGCAGTGCAAAATCAACCTTTGGTCTCTATAGGAGAGAAGTGGCTTTGGCTGAATAGGTACAAAAGAAGTGACAGGTTAGTAAGCCTCTG